AAATAACACCTTTTATTGGAAACCCTTTTATAAAAATATATGCTCGTTTTGATTTTACCGTACAACATAAGAACGGTATCACATATTTCAATCAAAGTTATGCAGCATTGGAAGTTTTCCCGAGAAGGGGGTGTGACACCAACATGTGTGGTAGCGCTTCTCTCAACTTATACATATATACATATGTATGTATATCTAATGAATTGTTATTCGTTAGCCTCGCTAAAACCAGAGAACTGCTGAATGGACTTATCTTTTCTTGGTCTTAAAATGGTCATGGAGGTCTAGGAAAGGTGAGAAAATGTTCGAATAATTGCCGGGAGAATCCTAAAAACAGCCCTCTACTAATTCCCAATTTGGTTACTATAATCCCTGGAAATGTTTCTTTCCAAAAAAAAAAATTGTTTATCATTTTATGACACGTTTGGTAAACTTATGGTCAACATGCACTCACTTATGCTCGCCAGTGCAGATGGTCTTTTTGCTTAAATTAACTTCTCTCTGGAATATGGAACAAGGACTGATCTATAGAGAGAAGCTTACTTATGGTTCGATTTACTTAAAATCCGGTGAATAAATGGGTTCTTGCTTAGATGAGCAGAAAAGCTATTCTTCTCTTAGGTAAACGGACTGGGGACTGACCTACTCAAAAAGTCGAACTATTGCTCTCTCCGGGACCAAAGTTAATTTGCGAGCTACAGTTTATTTTAAGCCGGATCCTAACTACTTATGGATCTTGTGAGAATATTTATTTCATGCCAGAAATACACTCCCCATTCTTTTTCAAAGGTCAATTGCAATTAGAAATATTAATATTCAGTATTCAAAGATACAATCAGCAAAATTACGACACTTTGATAAAATCGGTTGGCTTGAGTTATTGTGTTTACTGAACTCCTACTCAAGTCTTTACGCAAAATATAATATATAGGTTTCTTCAACAATCATATTTGCAGTTGTTCTTAAGCGACGCGCACTACCGGAATAGCAGACTTTTAAAATAACATTTCTTATTGGAAACCCCTTTGTTAATATGCTAGAGTATGCCCGCGACCTAATCTGTATGGAATTTTAAGATTCTTCCAATAATATTTATTATGGCGGCCGCAGCAGCCGTGTGGTTAGCATTGCGTACTGACATTCGGAAGCCTTGGGCTCAAATCCCCGTGCGACCATCAGATTTTAATTTAAATAATAAATCCATTATGTCAACCCCTCCGTGTGTATTTCGCACATGAAATAAAGCTCCTCCTAAAAAAAACGGCTTCTGAACTATGCCATCGAATCAATCCCAGGAGAGAAAAGGTGCGCCCAACGGCAAACTCCATACTGTATAAATTTTTATGCAAATCAAAGAATAAAACCAAATTTTTTTTATAGACGTATCTCGGGTTCACTTTATGGAAGAAAAAGTGTTCCCCTTTTCAGTTTAGGGAAAGAGTTACTTATGTACCAAATTTCAGGCGAAAAAATTCAATTTTTTGGAACAGATTGTTTCTAGATCTTCTTCCCGAAAAATCCTTCTTATCGGGTGAATACGTTATATGAAGAACATACCCTCTAAATTTCAGATCTCTTAGACTAGTAGTTGATCCGTCAGTCATGCAGGACAAAGCTTTATATATATATATATAGCTAGATTATATGGATTGCTATATGAGTATAAAATTTCCAGTAGGAAATTATATATATTGAGGTTATTAAATTAAAGGGTTTTATAAGGATTACAGAAACAAATATCTTTGAGGGATACAGGGAACATCTTTCTGTAAGCTCTATTAAAGCTAGGTAGAGCCTTCTAAAAGTCAGGTCACACTCTTATTGTATAGTAGTGTGCCGTATACCCTGAATCTTTGCCGGTGTTGTTTTCAGTACTCGCATGATGCCGAAAACCCTTTCCACCATCTCCATCAAACTACAGACCCCCTAGCGAAATCAAACAACTTTTATATTTCAGTTTTATTTGTTTAATATTTTATTTTGTATAATTTGACATAATTTTCTTGTTTTATTTTATTTAAAAGAAACTTTTAGATATTTTTTATAAACTTGACATTTTACTATTTAATTTTTTTTTTTCTACGTTTCTATTATTGTATTCTTAATTTGCAATAATTATAATAATTGATATGGTAACTACTTAACTCATCTATGTATGTATGTACATACAAATAACATATTTAAATAATTTATTTGTTAAACGCAATTTGGTAAATGTTTAAATTATCATAATTACAAACTGAACTTGGGGCAGTGATACCAAATAAATGCCGCTAATAAATGTTTGGACTTACTATAACTATTAAAAACAAGTATTATTGATTTAAATAGGAGTTTTCTCGGATTCGTGTGATGCTTTGAAAGAAAAAGAATTAAAAATTTAAGGAAATATTTAATATATGTGAATTTTTTTATATTGAGACTGAAAGAAGAACGCTGATTGGGGAAATGGTTTGAGTTCTCTACTCTTTAAGGAGAAAACGCAAGTTTGGTTTACGACTGTGACAACCGATTGTGACAGTGCGACCTCGGCTTACTTCCTAGGTATAGTTGTTAGCTACAAAAGCAGTGGGTCAAAAATTTTTATACTTTAATTTTTTATAAATATTTATTGATTTTTTATTCTCTGCTTAAATAATATAATACAAAAATACAAGAGAACCCAAAAAAATTAATGAGCTCCCAACAGCTCTGGTATCTAAATTTGCATATTGGAATGCAGAAAGAAAAAATATGCGCAGAAAATAATATTTTACAATAAGCTACATATCTTAAGAAACAAGTGATGTCATAAAAAAGATTTATTAATAATAATAAATTTTATATTAATTTTATCAGTGAAATTTAAAAATTATTTCCATTAAGAATTCTGCTGTTATTATAAATGGGAATTTTAAAAAAGGCTTACATTTATAATTGTTTAAGTTTTAAATGCACATGTATGTACGTACACATCTAAATTAATTGAGGGTATATAACATATGAATAAAAATATTGACTAGAGAAATAAAATAAATTAAATTATTTACATTTGCATTTATAAGGCATTCCTTTCCCAACCGGATAGTTCATTTTGGTTCAACAAAGTGATAAGCAAATTCACTAAAAAATATATATAAAAAAATATTGAAAGAAATAAAATTTTTATAATCCAAAATTAAAAATATAAAAGTACTACATAAAATAAAAATAAAAACTTATTATAAAGTAAAAAATTTATTAATAATTAAAATAAGTAAAATTAAACAAAGTTAAGATAAATTAAAGAATATAAAACTAAATAAAATTCAATGAAATAAACCAAATAAAATAAATTATATAAAGTAAATTAAAATAAAATTAAGCAAAAGGAAATAAAAAAACAAAGAAAAATGAAATTAAAGTTAATAATTTAAAAAAAATTAAAATAAATAATTTTATTATTTCAAACAAGTTTTGTTTTGTCAATAACAAAATAGAAAATTGAATTAAATTTAACTAAAAAATTAAAATAAAATAAAATAAATAAAATTAAGTCAAATAAAATTAAATGATTTTAAATAAAATTATATAAAGAAAAATTAACTTAAAAATGGTGAAATAGAGTAAAATGAAACGAAATTAAACTTAATGAGGTAAAAAAAAGAAAAATTAAAATAAAACCTATATATTTTAAATTATATAAAATTAAGTGAAATAAAATAAATTGAAATAAAATAAAATAAAAACAAAACAAAAAAATAAAATAAAATTTAATTCATAAATTAAAATAAAATAAACTAAATTAGATTAAGTTAAATTAAATTATATTTATTTCTTTTAAATTAATTTAAACTAAATAAATTGAATATATCAAAATAATAGTAATTTAATTAAGTTGAATAAAATAAATTAAATTAAATTAAGTTAGGTAAAAGGAAACTAAAAAATTTTAAATAAAATTTAATTAAATGAATTAAAATTAAAAAATAAAAAACTTAAAAAAATAATATATAAAAAATATAACAAAAAGAACCATTTAAGTAAAATAAAAAAAAAATACCGTAAAATAATATATTAAATTAAATTAAATAATATCAAATTAAATTATATCATATTACATTAAATAAAGTAAAATAAATTTAAATTAATTAAAATTTGGCTGGTGAAGAATTGGCCTCAAGAGAATCATGTGATTGGCACAAGGGTTTCTATGAGAGAGGCACATACGCGATCGATAAATACAAATAATGGATTACTTTTTATTAGAACTTATATAAAATAAAAATAAAAACATGAACCGATTAGTGAAAGATGTACCTCATATGCTAATTTTCATATGTATATACATAAATACAATGTGTTACAAATAGTAGTAGGTGGTATGTACATACATATTTCCGGAAAAAATTATATGACAAATAAGAAAATATTTATTCAAAATTTATCAGTTAAATATATTCAACATATGGATATATATATACTCATTTTCTTGTGACTAATTACAAATTGAGCGTAAATAATTAACTTAGATAGCTGTGTGTATGTATAGTATAAAAAGTATACAAAAGATTTTTAATGAATAATGTGCAAATCATGTGTGTATGTATATATGTATGTATATAGTAAATGCTTAAATTCGACTAATATTATTATTAATTATATAATATATATATTTAAGTAGAGTTTTAACATTATTAATTATCTAAAAGATTAACGCAGTCAAAATATCAATGGAATTGCTTCTTCTCTCATCATCATCACCATCGTCATCATCATTATTATTATTATCGTTATGTATGTATGCATGCATATTTTGAATTTTAAATTTACAAATGCATATAACTTATATGTGTTGTATATGTATATATACATATATGTATGTATATATATATGTATGTTTTAATGTATGCATCTAATATGGATTAATTCGTTTTATTTAATTAATTTTATTTTCACAACGTTTAACAATAATTTTAGATAAACTCTATTTAATAGCAAAATTTGACTGATATTTTTGTTCATTTTCAATTACACATATTTTTTTGATTGAAAACATGCATACATTTAAAAAAAGAATTCTTTGCGACAAGTCTTGTAAAAATCAAACATACATACATATGTATGTCTAAAGTTTATTTTTATTAAAAACGAAAACAATTTAAATTTGCCATTTTGGAAGTATTTAAGTGTTAATTGATGGGATTTCAACTACTCATTAAATGCAAAAATACACACACACACACACAGCCAGACAAATGTTGCATGCGTGTTGTGTATGCATGAGTATGTGTAAATGTATTGAATGAAATTTGAAAATTCACTTTCACTTATAACGAGTTAATTTTAAAATTTAAAATCACATTTAATTATTAATGCATAAATTTCGTTTTACTCTTCTCTTTTATTGTACGTCATCTATGTGTGAGTATTTCCTCTGCGCAAAATCCTGCCATCTCTCCACTCTTCTACTACTTCATTACCCCTCTCTACTCTAACATCCCGACAAGGAGTCTTCACATCAACTTCTTTTCCTGCTTTATCGAATAAATTACTAATATTAAAAAGTTATTAATACTTAATTTTAGTTTCATTGTTGTTGCTGTTGCAGCTGCTGCTACTGCTGTTGCACCACGCATGAACGCCTAAATTATTATTACTTAATTCGTTTCAATGATAATCATTACTCGATAGCGCATTCGTCGCCAACATCACGGGACCGGTTAGTGCAGCCGACAAATGCTCTTCCCTTCTTGGACAACGTCCGTACTTTTTGATATAAGAGCCATGCTCACAAGTGGGCGGTTTGCAACGTCCTTCGGATATACATCTATTAGGTAGAGGTAAATTTAGTTAATATAACTTTTTCTCAGCCAGCAAAAGCTAAGTGGAAAATCCAAAGTAGAAGCGCTACTCACTTGCGATCAATCATCGAAAAATGTTCCATACCGCGCTTGAGCCAATCACAACCGGTATTGCCGGAAGAGCAATCACAGCGACAAAAGCCATCTTCTTGTAGAATTTTCTCATACAATTTGGGACAGTTGCAATTGAGTATGGTGGCGCGTCGTAGTGTCTGTCCGCCGTAAGACATATCGTATATGGGCATATTATGATACTCGTCTATCTGTTGCTTCGTCTTATCCACACAATGGCATTCGGTGTGATTGATGAATGTCAAACGTTCGACTGAGCCACGTTTCTCATTTATACTGCGTACCTGTGTAGGTGGGAGAGGAAAATTATATTAATATTTTATGAAAAAATTTATAGGATTTTAATACTTAAGTTTTTTAATCGAAAACTCGTAACCAGAACGATCATATTGAAATACACGGACGACAAATATGCAGGGTTCTGAATGTGTGTATATTTCGAGCACCTAACATCGACTCAAACCAATATATATATAAAGAACGGACGTCAACAAACACAAGGCAGATTCGATAGACATCCGAAGGGTTTTATACTCAACTTGAACTCACGTGCTCTAAGCGCACTTATCAGCAACTTGATATATGGCAAGTCCATAGACCTACTTCGGTCTACTATAACACTGCAGAAACATTTGCAGACTGAGAAAGAGAGAGACCGAAATGCGTGAGAAAGAAGAGCTTGAATGTCCTACAATGAAACGTTTAGGCTGATGGCTTACCGGCTAGACTATTGAAATATAGTTTCCAGGAAGTGACAAAGCAGATCGTCTCTAAAAAATTTCGCCGAATGAATGCATACCTGATGGTTGGAAACCTAAATGTGCTCTGTCCAATTCATAGAAAGAGCGGACCCTACATACCGCATCAATTATTGTGGGATAAGTCGTTTTAATACTGATAGCATGCAAAGGAACTGTCTCTATGCATATATGCCTGAGTTTTGTATTCTGGTGTGTTCTGATTGGTCTTTCATTGGTCTTTCTCTATTTTACACTAAGAAAAAACGGAATGGGTCTGACTGTGAAGGAGACCAAGAAAAAATATCTCAAATCTGTCAGTATATTCGCGTTTTGGCTCCCATGTCGCAACTAAAGTCGTATGTAGATATTTTCTTTTCTCTAGGTAACAAACACCGCCAACAGCAAGACGCATACCAAAGCTGGAGGAAGAGTTCCGCCGAAAATTGTTTTAGCGGTTACAATGTGTTATTTTTAAATGTACATTAAAAGATCTGATATCTTTTTACGAAAACAAAGTCCCATACATATTGGAGTATTTCTTTGCAAAAAAAATGTTTTTTATTTTATCGTGAGGTGCTAAAACCACCAAGCTATGAAGCATGGCAGAAGTAACTGACATTGGGAGAAGCAGCTTACGTTCAAGTCTACTCCTGCAACTTTGGTTAATGTGAAAAATACATGAACTACGGTATCTTGGAATCAATGGGGTAACTTGATGCTATGAAGGAAATCCTAGGAATAAATACAGCTTCTCCCCGAAAACAATGTGTTTGAACAGTAGACTGTATCACATTTTGATGCAATACTTTCACTGTAAATTGTATGTATGTCAAATAAGTGCCAGGCCACTTCCCGTAAAAAAAGGCTTTTGCAGTTGGAATATAGTCCCAAAGTTTCAGGTCTCTACGACCAGTGGTCAAGGCTGTTGATACATTAGTCATTCAAAACAGAGCCTTTAGAGCTTTGGACTAAGTAGGCAATTGAAAAGTAAAATTCTCTCCGAATGAACAAACAGTTTTGATAAAGAATCATAGGCGGCAAATACCGTAGACGATAGAACAATGAGCTGTACAAGAAATACTATGATATTGACGAAAAAATAGACTAGGGCTTTTGATGAATTTGTCGATGGAAGAGGTTCTAGCGGGTACCTATCAAGCAACGGTTTTTTCAATGCGGAAAACACTGAAGCGGAGTTACACTAAACGGGTCCAGTGCTAATGTGTATATCTCGACTAATCGAATTATTTCTATTTCTGGGTTATCGGTCTTTACATTCGCTCACGCGATTTTCTGAAAACTTGATTATGTGTGATAAGAGTACTCAATTTACTCAGGAAAATTTGCACTACCTACAATTACAAAGCACATTTGAAACTTTTGAAAATTTTTTTTAAGAAATACACCCTTAGTAATACCGCCGAGGGTTAACCGTATTACAAAAACTCGAAAGCCTTTAGACTGATCTTTTCTGTACCCGTCTTTAACTTAAATTTCAGCTACTCAAAATATTACAAGTTGCAGAACTAAGACGGCAAAAGAAACACTCTTTTATGGAGCGAACAATTTACAGGTAACTGGGAACTAAATATCTCCCTAAAAGCTCTACCAGTCGCTTTTTATGCGCCTGCTGATATATAAGTCAAAAATTTAGACAACTACAATAACCGATTGGTTAGATTTAGTAGTATTCGGCAGAACATAAAATGCAAAGTCTCTTCTCGGTGGAGCTCAACGCGAGCTGGCGTAGGGATAGAGAGGTTAGAGGTGCCACAAATTAACCTAAAACATAAGTAGCCACGTTTTTAAGCTCCTCACCTCACAATGTTTCGACTATTGCTTAGTCGATGGCAGTTTGCGAAGGCCTTTAACTTAACCTGCTGCACTTTCACTGATATTGATCACCATCGTGCGGAGGCGATAGCACACTTGAATACGCTCATAAATCGAGTAAAATTAAAGTTTCAAATCCAACAAATTACATGTAGACGAAAGGCATCAGACAACAACTCAATTGAGGCAAATGAATACAAATAAAATAAATAAATAATAAATTTGTTTAAGCAGGCATTTGAATGTATTCAATCGTTTATATGCACACGTATTTAAATATATGTAAGAGTCTTTGAAATCGTAAATGAAATTTTATAATAAATTGTTATTTACATTAACCGTTGACGTGCCGTGCAGCAGACCAGCCAGCGAACCGTTCAAAGTGGCCTTTAGAGTAGCGAAAAATACACAAAATTATTTGTGTTGATAGGCGTCTAGCCGGTCAAACGTCGCGTATGGCAAAAAAAAATCCTTGAGGCGCTGCTGGAGTCATAAGAAACACAAGCGGCAGCCAAACAACTTATTTACTTTTCTCTACGTTGGCGGCTCAGCCTGTTCAGCCACCCACGTGCGCAGCAACCTTGCCACTTTGCAATCACTCACTCGCTAACTGCAACTTTCTGCGCGGCATACGCTAAGCGAAAATCCATCATTGGCCCACCAACTGACCATACCACCTAATCACGACATGCGAAACTCCTGATTTTCCCTAAGCTCTTCGTGCCAAATTGGTTGTTACTTAGCGTCGGCTTAACGCTGTTTGTTGCTGTTGCAAATTGTGCAAACAGATGTTGCATGTAATGCGGGTAAGAAAGGCCACGTCACCGACACCTTCACCGCCAAATGGAGAAGTAATCGATCCAAATGCAAAATAGCTTTTCGTGGCCCATCGGCGTGGTTGCTATGTACTCGTGCGAGCATATACTCAGATTTCCGTCATGCAAAGCTCTTTAATTAATTTACATACATTTTTATCGGTTGAGAGGAAATATGTATTTGCTTTCGGGCTGTCTGTGGCAGCACCGTCGAACGGGGTGCCGCCTGGACAAGGAATAGGCTGTCTGCTTTGCACTGCTCAACTTGGCTTTTTTGGCTGGCAATGAGGTGATTATGAGTTTACATAACAAGCCGACGTTGTGGGCATTTGTGAGTTGATATGATACCATAATTTTTTTCCCCCATTCGGTGAGATTTGACTGATAGCCTCAGCGAAACTGACACGGACACCGAAAGCAATAGCTTCAACAACTGAAATAGTTAGGGATGTCTGTGTTGATGATAACTACATTAAAAGAAGCAAATTGTTTCGGAGGAATAAACTGAAATATTTTGAAGTGGCTCTTAAGTGCCTAGAGTACAAAAGTAAATCTAATTAACAAAAATTTGTTCCATTTTTTAGACAACAGATGTATCGCACCTTCACAAAAGTTAAATTATATTCATTTTTCTTTTAGTTTAAAATTATTTTATTTTATTCAAATAAATTTAATTTATTACGATTTATTTTATTTGATCTTTGCTTTTTTATTTTATTTTATTTTATTTCATTTTATTTATTTTTTTAATATCCTTTATTTAACTTAATTAATTTATATTATTGTATTTTATTTTAGTTTTTTTTTATATTATTTTTTATATTATTTTATTTTATTTTATTTTATTTTATTTTATTTTATTTTATTTTATTTTATTTTATTTTATTTTATTTTATTTTATTTTATTTTATTTTATTTTATTTTATTTTATTTTATTTTATTTTATTTTATTTTATTTTATTATATTTTATTTTATTTTCTTTTATTTTCTTTTATTTTATTTTATTTTATTTTATTTTATTTTATTTTTTATATATATATATTTTTTTTAATTTAATTTAATGTAGGAAACATATCTGTTTTGCATGACTATCGTTGGCAGGGTCAACGAATTGTACAACGTTCGCCTTGAAAAATTGAAGGCGGTATACCGAGCTGCTACTGAAGTGTAAATAAAGAAACAACTTACGGCAAGTGTCAACGTTTTTCATTCCTGTTGAGAGATTAAATAATAGGTACGAGTATGAGTAATTTGAAATCCACAGGTGCCACAAATCACAATTGCAAGCCCGTCAATCTTAACTGTAAGTCTATTGCGACACAGAATATGCAACATCAGTCCCTCGCACCAAGGAGATTAACTTGACAAAAATATGCAACGTCAAACATTTTGTACAGTCGAACGCTGACTTAATAGTTGACGATTCATCAAAACTTTACATAAGAAACAAACATAAGTACAGAACTAATAAACACCTCAAGAGCTCCATTCCATGAACATCCATACACACAGCAACTACTAGAAAAATATGCATTTAATATTTATATATAGAAAAATATATGCTCTCCCCTAGGCATTTGCTTGTGCACTTTTTCGGTGGCAGAATCAATTCGCTTGAATTAACAACAACAAACAATTTGTAGTTTGCACTAACAAAACGATTGGGAACGCATTGGCAATTAATCAATAGGCTGGCAAGTGACCTCATTATCTTGGCTGCGCGATTACTTGAGTGCCAGCCTGCTTGGCTGCATAATTCTCGCAAACAAATATTTACCGACATACATAGGTACATATACGTATGTATGTATGTAGAAGTCATGCATATTTAGAATGCAAGCGCTGAATCACAGCATTAGTGCTAACCAAACTGGTGACGTATTGACACCCGCAAACGGCGACATAACATATTTTGAAATATTTGTTTATTTTATTTAATTTTTCTTAACTTGTTTCTGGTTTTTCTTTTTTCATTTTGCATGCACATTTATACTCACATAGAAATACAAGTCGACATTTTTTGTGCGTTTCGGTGCACACGTTTGACGTTCACTGCGGCAACAACCAGTCTCGTCGGTGCAACGATGGAGTACCGTACAGTGGGGCATGTACGATTTCGAGGGGTCACGTTGTATACGTTCTACACGTCGTTGTGGTACACGACAGGCGGCTTCACTTAAAATTTGCTTAACGTGTTCACCGGCCAAAGCTTTAGAGATTAAAAGAAAATGAATGTCAAAAGCGATTAGTGGGCGTGGTTTTTTTGGTTACAGTAAAATAAAAATGTGGTGGCTTATGTACTTAAGCATGCAACAGTAAAAAAGAACGTAAAAAACTAAAAATTCCTTATATATTAACACATAAAATTTAATTAATACACTTTAAATTAAAATAAAACATTAACGTGCGCTGAGGCATTCGAAATAACAAAATTAAATTAAATTAAATTACATTGATTTAACTCAAATAAAATAAAATATAATTAAGTACAAAAAATAAAAAATAAATAAAATAAAATAATATTTTATTTAATTTAGTTTAATTTTATTTAATTAAATGAAGTAAAATAAAATAACATAATATAAAATAATATAAAATAAAAAAAAATTAATTTTAATTAAAATAAATCATATTAAATTAAATTAAACTAGAAAAAAAATAAAATAAAATTAAGTTATTGTAAATTAAATTAACTTAAATTCAATAAAAGAAATTAAAACAAAATAAAATAAAAATAAATTAAATGAAATTAATTTAAATTCAATAAAAAAATTTAACTATAAAATTTTATGGAGACAATTTGAAATATCCATTTAATTCTATAAAGTACCATTTTCGTGTTTGTGTTTAATAACATGAGAGCGTCGTGTTTCATGTACCGCGGCCAGCGTACCCAATTCCTCCTGCTTTTGTCGAGTCAAAGTGCCGGGAATATAATACTGGGAATTAATGTTATTGGCGTCTTCCTGCAATATGTAAGAAATGAAGAAAATTCAGAAAATTGATATTTTAAATGATTTAAACTTTAAAATTAAGTTTAATTTAATGCTTAAACATTTTTGTATTGCAAATTAACGAAGATATTAAATTGAGTCATGTTTTTTGTAAGGCAAACATTATTAAATAAATTAAGACGTTGGCACTTGCTGAAAATTCGCACAAATGTTGCTTAAGACAATAAGATTAATGTGAGCACAAGCACATTTGTGCAAACAAATATTGCTATCCATTTGCCATAAATATATATATATATATATGTATATGTATATAAGAACATTGAATGACTTTACGTTTATTTATTTTATATCGAGACTTTAGTTTGTGGCAACAGGTGATATTTCTCTTGTGGCGAGAATGCAATTTGTCAAAACATGAGACAGTTGTGTAATCTGCAATTATTAACTACTCCCTTGTTGGCGTACTATACTTTAATGTAATATTATATTATATATGAGTATATGCCTACATATATTTTATGTTAAATGTATGACTTGTAGACAGATAAGCTTGAAAAATTGTATGCGGGTATATGTATGTATTCAGGTATATACATACATATGTATTTAGACATATATTCTATCAACAATGCTATCTAAAGAATTCAACGGAAAATTAAGATTATCTTCCTCTTAATGGTAATGCATTTACACATTTTAAGATGAAAAAATATTATGACTGTGTTTCTGTATTTAATAGTACATACCTACTTGCTTGTCGTCACCATTGCAATTGAAAAAGGCTTATAAATGTATAACTAAATAATCTTATAACGAAATAAATGCCACCAATAAGAACAAGAGATTTAAAACAATATATTTTATTGAGTACGCTGTTCACACAGGCACTCAATTAACTTAAATTGAAAACAAATTTGAAATTAAACTTATTATCAATTATTTTTATTTAAAATTGAATAATCTTGCCATGCATGAAATGCACATAATAATGCTAAAAAATAATTCAATAAATTACACTATTCACACAGGCACTCAATTAGCTAATTGATTTCATATTCACTGATTAAACAGTAACTTCATAAAATCTCAAATAATTAGTTTTTTTAATTTAAATTTAATTTTTCTGTAGATTACACCTTTAAAAATAACATACTAAAATTTCAAGTCGATGTCTCAAATAGTTTTTGAGTTATAACAATTTGAAGAGCAGCCGCTCGGCAGCTAGAAAGCCTCATTAGCTACGGGTGAAAACGATCATTTTATTTTTAAACGCGTTTTTCTCGAAACAGCATTTTCCGAATCTGCTGCTGCGATTATTCAAAAACAAATGATCCGATCACTATCGAATTTTTTTTACATGTTCTACATATAGTTCTCCGATTTGATCTTGATCTGACCAAAAAATCAAATTTCTGCATGCCAAAAACGACCAAAATTTTTGGTAAAATTCGACTATTTTTTTTAAACGCCGCCATATTGTCAATTTTTGTTTTCTTCTTCATCGTAGGTCATTGCACAGACAATATTATCTTATCGAGAATTGCTTTTTTTTTAGATTTCACCCACGGAGAAGTTCGGAATCACTGCAGCAGTGAAGGACCTTTTTTCGCGCCGTTGGAGATCGACTATAACTTAAAAAATATTTAATTTTTTTTCACAAATTTTACTGTACATTCTTGAAACATGTATAAATATATTCTTAAAATTTTTAAATAATTGATAAAGTATTTTTTTTTAATAATAATTCCCAAAAATCACCTTTTATTAGGCCATTACACTAGGTGTCAACATTATGGAGAGTAATTTTAAGCGAAATTCCAATTAGAATGTACGTTAAATATCATAAAAATAATACCAGCTGGGTAACATAGACTGTTTGTTTCAACTTAATTGAATGTGATTGAAAGATTTATTGCTATTCGAATTTACTCCTTTTTTAAAGGCTGCCACTGAAATAACTAAGATATTCAACTACTGAAGTTCCATACGAAAAAAATTCGTTGCTAAAACCTTGGCGTAGCGTTGTTTTGAGTTAAAAATAATACTTCAAATACCTTTATTTAAAGCGATTTCTTACAAGAAATGCTGCGAGTGATGCCTTAAAACACTTTCATTTACCTTAGATGCCATCCCAAGCAGGCTGATTGCTTTAAATCCCAACCATCTAAGACCACACGCATTCACCACTGATTCTCCGAATTCACTTTATTGCGCTGAAGGAAGAGCAACAACGTAATGCATATTCGTAATAACACGAATTTTATGCGAAATTAATTCAAAAACAACGTACACCGCTCATGCATTCACTATGTCATCCCAATTTAAATCCCCCATCGAATAGTGAGTTCGTGATGTGTAAAATTTAATTTCACCAACACACCCATACATACGCAGGCATACACAATTCTAAATGGAAGTTAAGTCAAGTTACCTGTACACACGTACACCTTTACATTGTCAGACCGTTAACATGCACTCACGCATTCGAGCGGTCATAAAAATGAATCATTAAAGCGACCAAGAGAGTGAGTACCCAGTTTCATTACAATTCTGAAACAATACCAGTGTGAAGTAGCAAAGTAAGCACACATACAAGCTCATAGAAACGCCACAGAACGAGTACACGCCTCCTTAGGTGTGAATTTGTTGTTAAATACAACAATGAATCCGCCACATAGCAGAGTGTGAGCGCGAGTGTAGGTGGGCTTTAGGCGGAAACTGTTGATTTCCCAGAGGTGACATTTTCCGTTGCAGGACACTACTTTGCTGAGCTGGCACATGCTCGTAAACGAGTCATTTCAAGTGGGTCCCTCTTTGTGCGTTAAAATTGCATGCGTTGCAACCACACACACATACACAGTGATGACACAAAGTTTTCGGTTAGGTATGCACAGTGTAGCGAGTTGATTTAGTGAGTTATAATCCGTTTTTATGTTTGCCTCAGGCTTAGTGAATGTTGTTAGAAAGAAGTGTTCTCAGGGGTATTTGCTAAAGCATTATTACTACAATTGATGAAATGGTTTATACGGCTTCAACGAATTAAAAGTCTTGAACTATATTAAGCCTTCTGTGAATAGATTTTTAAAGAATCTACTAGTTTTTATAAGTTGATTATGGCCACAATAGCTGAGTGGTTAGCACTGCGTACCGCTATTTTGAAACCTTAGGGTTCGAATCCAACATCCAAAATTATAGTAAATTATTTCTTCTAATTGCGGTCGCTCCTCGACAGGGAATGTCTACCCCTCCGAGTGTATTTCATTCGGAGGAGGCTGAGTATAAACCATTTGTTGGAAAAATATGAAGACGCATAACCTGAAATTGGAGGAAGAGCTCGGCGGAAAATCGCTTGAACGGTTACAAAGCGCCAATTACAATATATACATATATAATATATTCGAATTTAATAATTTTGCAGGGTTGGCAAAACGAGTATAAACCAAGTAATAGCCAGCAGAAGGGCCATATTGTCAATAAAAACCACATGTCTAAAAAAACAGAGGCTTTTCTGATGCTTGTGAACGGATTCAACACGAAGTCGAGACAAAGATGTGTAGATCAGTAACTTCCAATTCCCATTTACGTAAATTGAAGTTTTAAGTTCTTTCTTAATTTTTCATCTTTATCGGCATTGTCACCGCTTACGCGATTATAGCCGAATTAATTATAGCGCGCCATTCATCCCTTTTTTGTGCTCTTTGGCGCCAGTTGGAAATACCAAGTGAGGCCTGGTCACTTTCTACCTGATCCTTCCCTTCTGCTTTCACCGGCGGCTACTACATCGAATATTTTCAAAGCTGGAATGCTTTCATTGTTGATGCTGGTCTCTGTATAAACGAAATTATCTACGACTTCGAAGGTTTGAATGTCAACAGTGACGTGGGAGCCAAGTCGCGGATGAGATGATGCTTAAAACATTTGCGGGGTTCGTCATATAAAAGGGGCCAAGCTCCACGCACAATCGTATGGGATTCGCCTTCTCACTTTAGCTCGGATGTTTGTTGGCTACGCAGTGAATAATTGGTCTACGACCGGAAGTCGTGAACTGCTTGAACCATATGAAAAAGAATCATTATTGGCCACTCGCAGGTGAATGGCAGTCAAAACCATTCCTCACTTTCGTGAGCTTCTACCATGGCCCCATCCGCCTTAATTAAATTACACATATTTTTATCTTCTTTAATGCAATATCCTACATATAAAGATACAGAAAAATAAGGATTATTTATTAATATCAAAATTTTAAAATTTTAAATAGTATTTAAAAGAACACACTTACTCAAATCTCTTAATAACTTAATATTTCCGGATTGTGAATTATGAAATTATGTGCATTATGAAAAAAGCTTTGAGATTTTTTAGCAATTTATTCTCAGTTTCTTTGACATAAAAATAAACAATTCTGTATTATGTGTATTTATATTTTTTAAATATGAATAAAAACTCGACTTGTTCACTAAAAGAAATATGCTTTTTGTTGTGTTTTTTTTAGGGTAAATATTTCTCAAAGTAAAAATCAATTTATCAGTCTTTGTCCACCGAATGTCACTGTAGAGCCAGCCATGATGACGTTGACTTGATTTATGAATCCGCTGTGACCACTAGCGCCATCCATTCAACTTGCCGGCGGTATACATAAATACATATGGGTATTCACACACAGAAAATATTGCCCCCACTTGTCATGAAAGCGCACATATTTACAAGCAATACATACCTGTAAGTTTGTATGTGTTCTTTTCGGAAGTTTTTTAATTTGTGTTGGATAAATCATTTTATTTTTTCATTTGATTTATTTCGTTGTTGAGCAATATTTCTATTTTTTATGAATAGAAATAACAGATTTAAATTTTATTAATGTTAGATTTTTTTAAATAACAAAACTGCAAAAAAAAGTGAGGTTTTTAAGCATTGAATGAATAGTGAGGGGCAGATTCTCTTCAGATAACTCTTCAAATTCAATGAAGATAAGAGAAGTGATGTTTGTTTTATCTACGAGTACACATATA